TCCACAGAATAATGATCCAAATGGGATTCCACCTGGACTTTGTGAAGCTGATAATGGTATGTATCTCAACATCATCAATCTCTTTCAAAGTGAATGGCAAGGTCAGTGGCTACATTACTCCTTCAAGAGGAATCAGACAGGGGGACCCTTTGTCCCCCTACTTGTTCATCATGGTTGCTGAACTTTTGTCAGCTCTCATCACCAATGCTCAAACTCAAGGAAACATCCAAGGCCTGAAGCTCTCAAGAAATGGTCCAGCTATCACACATCTTTTATTTGCTGACGATTCCCTTCTATTCTGCAAGGCCGGAGCTGATCAAGCACATCATATTCTATCTCTTTTGGATAAATACAGGAGGTTCACTGGCCAAAAGGTTAATCTCCAAAAGTCAGGTATTTTCTTTAGTCGAAACACACCTCAGGCAGTGAAAGACAGTGTCTGTAGCATTCTTCAAGGTATTGTGCCTCATAGATCAACTAGATATCTTGGATTGCCACTGGGCATTGGAAGATCAAAAAAAGAGGTTTTTGACTACATTCTTCAATCCATCAACAGCAAATTACAGGGGTGGAAAGGTAAACTTCTCTCATCAGCCGGAAAGGAAGTGTTGATAAAGTCAGTCGTTCAAGCTCTTCCAATTTTCTCAATGTCCTGCTTCAAATTGCCAGTATCAGTTTGCAAAGAAATTTCAAAACTTTGTGCATCTTTCTGGTGGAAATCTGGAGGTAATAATGGAACTGGTATACATTGGAAGAAGTGGGAGAAAATCACTCTGCCAAAGCTCAAAGGTGGTCTGGGATTTCATGATATAGGTCTGTTCAATGAGGCCTTAATTTGCAAACAAATTTGGAGAATCTTAACAAATCCAGAGCTGCTGGTAAGTCAAATACTTAAGGACAGATATTTTCCTGAAAGCTCCATTTTCAAAGCTGAGAGGACTCAAAAAAGTTCGTGGATGTGGAACAGCTGGCTCTCAGTACTGCCCTTCTTTACTACCTGTGTGAGAACTGAAATCAGAAATGGCCTTAGTACTAGAATTGATGATATAAACTGGGTTCCACTTCTTAAAAAGCCTGCTCCAGCTTTGATGGAATTAGCTCGAGGGCATTTGATTTGGGTAAAAGATTTGCTTCAAAGCAATGGAATGGAATGGAACAGCTGGCTAGTTGAACAGGTATTTGACAAAGAAGACAGTGCTGCAATCCTCAAGATCAACACACTCAATCCATCAAGACCAGATAGGCTGCTGTGGAGACCTAACTCAAAGGGCATTTTTTCAGTTTCCAGCACTTATAACTGCTTGATTGATCAGAAGCTTATTAAGCTGGACATTCCTGAGGCCAGCACAAATTATTTCTCTCCACAGCAAATTTTTCAAAGGTGCTGGAAAATGAACATGCTTGGCAAAATTAAGCACTTCATTTGGAAGTGTATTTCAGGCACATTACCGTCTGCTATGAATTTGAGAAGGAGAGGAGTTGAAATATCTGCAATATGTTCAATTTGTGGGGAAAAACCAGAAACAACAGAGCACATTCTCTTTTCCTGTGCAAGAGCAGTCAGAATTTGGGATAAAGCACCAGTACATTGGGAAGGATTTCAGGACTTCACTTTTTCTTTCAAAACCTGGTGGCAGCACATTAGTTCATTAAAACAGACTGAAGTTGTACAAGCCAGAATCCAGTTAAGCACTTATATTCTATGGTGGCTATGGAAGTCACGCAACCTTTGGATATTCAAAACAACTCTTATGCCTGACTACATTGTGATAGCTGCAGCTCATAAGGATTGGCTTGAAGCATCATTAGCTGTTGGTAGTTAGGCAGCTGTAGTTGTTGCTGCTATTTTTAGTACTTTTCCTTCCTTAGTTTTTCCTTTTTGTTTTTTTGTCCTTGTTTTTTTTCAGTTGGGAATAATGATATCTAGCTAGGCCTTATGGCAGTGGAGAGATTCATTATTCCTTGTATTTTTCTTTCTTTCTTAGT